AGTGGAATTTAAAGTAATAGTGGAATTTAAGCAAGAATGGGGATCTATACACCCAATAAAGATGACCAAAGCAATAGAGGAAGAAATAGGGAAAATTAAAACGGCTAGAATCATAAGTAATAGAAGAGTGCTAATTCATGCTGTTAATGAGCCACAACAACAGAAGATAATCAAAATGAAAACCCTGATGGGGGAAATAATTAAAACCTATATTCCAGGATCTTTAGCAAGGCTAAGAGGAGTAATATCAGGAGTTCCTTTAGAAATGACAATGGAGGATGTGAAAAAAGAAATCAAAGGAGGGAAAATAACAGATGCCATAAGGATTAAAAGTAAAAGAGACGGGGAACTTAAAGACACTATGACAGTGATTCTACAATTTGAAAATATTAAGCCAGAAAATATCCAATTGGGATACATGAACTATAGAGTTAGAGAGTATATCCCTAGACCCATCAGATATTTTATTTGCCAAAGAATGGGACACGTTGCTAAAGAATGTAAAGGTAAAGTTAGGTGTGCAAGATGTGGAGGCCCACATGAATACGGAAAATGTGATAAAGATGCTAAAATCAAATGTTGCAATTGTGGAGGAGAACATAGTGCAGCATATGGTGGATGTAAAATACAAAGGGAAGCCAGAGAAGCTCAAAGAATCAAAATAACAGAAAGAGTTTCATATGCTGAAGCTCTAAAAAGAGTAAGGAAAGACAGTACAAGAGGAATGAGGTTGAGAGAAACGGGTCAAAGAAACACAACTTGGAACATAAATCAAGGGCAGAACGATCAGCGACAAACATTGGTACCAACAACAAATATACAAAATGCATGTTTGCATAAATGTAGAGTAGATGAAAATACAATGGTGGTGAAAAAAGAAAACTTTGTAGCTTTTATGTGCCATATTGTTAATGTTACAGTACAAATGAAAAAGAAAAGTGATCAAATAAAAGCAATAGTAACAGCAGCAGGAAGATTTTTAGACATGAAAGAAATCCAAGCAGATCAGATTCATACCATTCTGAGCGCCACAGAAACAAAATGCTCAAGAAGAGATCCAAGCTTTTATTATGGTCTTACATATTCTTCAATGGAATGCCAGAAGTCTAATAGCCAATGGACAAGAATTTAAAAAGTTTGTTTATGAATTAGAAATAATCCCAGATGTAATATGTGTTCAGGAAACATGGTTAAAACCTCAGCTGGATTTTAAGATACCCGGATACAGCATAGAAAGACAGGATAGAAGTAATGGTAGTGGAGGAGGATGTGCCACTCTAATTAAAGATGGAATAGCATATAAGAAAAACCCAATGAATAAAGAATTAGAACGTGTTAATATAGAAATATTTAATTTAAGAAAATATGAAAATAATAAATTATTATAATCCATGCAAACACCTTGATAGTGAAATGTTTAAAGAAATAGCAGGGAGACCACATAGAAGAGAACTGTGGTGTGGCGATTTTAATGCCCACAATAGTCTTTGGGGTAGCAAGAAGACAGATCATAATGGTAACATAATTGAAGAAATAATGGATGAAAGATCATTAGTATGTCTTAATAATGGAAAAGGTACAAGAGTAAATATACATAAAAATACAGCCTCATGTCTTGATATTACATTAATATCCGATTGTCTTGTTAGCTCATGTGAATGGGATGCCAATGGGAGTCTACATTAGGGAGCGATCACTTTCCAGTGAGTACAATAATTAATGACAGTATAAACAAGCAAAAAGATTTTATTTTAACAAAATGGTGCTTTAATAAAGCTAACTGGCAAAAATTTAAAACAATCTGTGAGGAAACCAGACACATGGTAACATTAAAAGACAACATTGAATAATGTACAAGTCAAATAACAGAACATATTTTAAATGCTGCCAATTCTAGCATACCAAAAATAAAAATAAAAAGTAAGAAAAAAGTAGTTCCTTGGTGGAATGATGAATGTACTACAGCAGTTAAAGAACGTAACAAGGCATTTAAAATATTACAGAAAAATTTAACAACGGAAAATCTTATTGAATATAAAAGGAAAAGAGCAATAGCTCGTAAAACTATTAAGGACGCAAAAAAGAAAACATGGAGAGAATATTGTTCTTCAAATTACAAAACGTTTGGTCAATGTTTAGGAAAATGACTTGGAAAAGGAATGATGTTAAAATACCAACCTTAATCAGAGGTCAGGAGATATTAGTTTTAAATAAAGATAAGGCAGATTTATTAGGTGAGACATTTGCTGCAGTTCATAGTGGCGAACATCTTACAGACATTCATAGACAGCAGAAGACTCAAAAACTTGGAAAGCATAAAAATATTTTGGAGAAATGTAAAAAATATATGACAACATTAGACATGGAAATAACCATGAAAGAACTTAAAACAGTATTGAAAGGGACAGGTTATTCAGCTCCAGGGGAGGATCAATTATGCTATGCTATGTTTCGACAGATTCCGCAAGTAACATTGAAATTAATATTAAAACTGTTTAATAAAATGTGGAAAGAAGGTTTAATACCAAATAACTGGAAAAGGGCAACAATACTGCCGTTCAATAAACCAGGAAAAGATCTGATCAGTCCGAATAATTATAGACCAATAGCTTTAACATCTCATGTAAGTAAATGGATGGAGAAAATAATGGTCAATAGATTAGGATATGTTCTTGAGCACAGGAAACTATTTAATGGATATCAGTGTGGCTTTAGAACAGGGAGATCAACAATGGATGCACTAACTAGAATCAGTAATGACAGAGAAAGCTTTAAAAATGAAGGAAATAATGATTATAATATTTTTTGATATAGAAAAAGCATATGATTCATTATGGAGAGAAGGATTACTTATAAAAATTAAGCAGATAGGAATAGGTGGGAAGATGTATAATTGGATAGAAAATTTCCTGATGGATAGAAAAATTAGAGTGAAGATTGGGAATGATTATTCGGAAGAATTTGATGTGGAAAATGGAATTCCTCAAGGTAGTGCAATCAGTCCAATTTTGTTTAATATTATGATTAATGATATCTTTTCTGATAATGATAAATGTATAAAATCTGCACTATATGAAGATGATGGGGCCATATGGATGAGGGGAAATAATATAAAACATGTCGTAGGAAAAATTAAGAAAGCAATTAGTAAAGTAGAAAAATGGTCTTATGAATGGGGTTTTAAATTATCAGCAAGCAAGTCTTGTTTTATGGTTGTTACAAATAAGAGAAATATTGATATAGGAACATTAACATTATATGGACAACCTTTGGAAAGGGTAGCTGAATTTAAATATCTAGGACTATGGTTGGATAGTTCTTATACATGGAAAACACATATAGAAAACTTAGAAACAAAATGTAAGAAAGTTATAAATCTACTAAAAGCTGTGGCTGGAAATGATTGGGGTGCAGATAGACAGTCACTATTAAACATATACAGGGTTCTCATGAGATCAATAATAGATTATGGCAGTTTTATATACGGAGCAGCAGCAAAAACATCATTACAAAAGATAGATAGGTTACAGAGTAGGGCTTTACGTATATGTACAGGAGCAGTGAAAACAACACCTATTAATGCTCTTTTAATAGAGACTGGAGAGACCTCACTGGAAATGAGAAGAATAAAATTAGCTCTAGTATATTGGATGAAAATTAAAAGTAGTAAGGAAGATAATGCAACTACAACAATTTTACAAAACTGTTGGGAATACTCAACATTCCAGAGTAATGGATTTGGATGGACTGTAAACAAGTTGATTAAAATGTATGGATTAGAGGATAAGGAAATAGCACAGTTTAATCCGATTAGTGTTATTCCCCCATGGCTATTTCCTGAGGTAAATGTGGACATGAAACTTCTTAAAATGAAAAATGACTGGAATTTAAATGAAATAGGGGTAAAGACAGACATATATTTAAGAAACTCATATTCTAACTACCTTAAAATATATTCAGATGGTTCTAAGAATTTAAAAGGATGTGTGGGAATAGGAATATATATACAAGAATTTAAAATGTACATTTCTAAAAGATTATCAGATCAACTATCTGTCTTTACAGCAGAAATGGTAGCAGTTATGCTGAGCTTACAGTGGGTAGAGGAGGTTAGACCAGACAGGGTGGTGGTGTGCACGGATTCCAAAGCAGTTATAGAAAGTATTCAGGGAGAAGGAAATAATAGGAAAGAGTTAGTATTAGAAATTCAACACTGTTTATTTAGACTATACAGGGGTGGCATTGATGTTTGGTTCTGTTGGGTACCAGCACACGAAGGTGTAAAGGGGGCAATAACAATTACAATCCCTTTTGGGAAAGGGGAAGGGAAATCACTTATTAAAAGTAAAGAAATAGATAAATGGCAAACAAGATGGAATGAAGATAAGAAAGGAAGAAGTTTATATAATGTACAAAAGTCAGTATTAATTAGAAAAATCACTGAGAAAAACAGAAGGGAAGAAATAATAATGTTCAGATTAAGAGTAGGTCATACCTATTTAAATGATAATTTATATTTAATAGGGAGAAAACAGAATGATAAATGTGAAGGGTGTGGAGAGAAAGAAAATGTAGAGCACATATTGATGAACTGTAAAACATATGAACCTGAAAGGGAGAAACTGAGAAGAATGGTTAGAAGGACAGGTCAAGAATGGAGTCTTAAAGGAATATTGGGAAATGAAGGAAACATAATGGATATTTACAGAATAAGAAAAGCAATATTTACTTTTCTGCAAAATACTAGGTTAAAAAATAGAATTTAATAGATGTGAACAACAAAAAAGGTTGAATCATGTCATCTGGACTTCGTTTTTTTTGTTAAAAAGAAACGTTTCGCCCCTCATCCAAGAGGCTTCGTCAGTCTGAGGCCTAGCCTCAGATGTGAAGTAGTGTTGCTACACACTCATGTACAGTAGGTGGCGGTATGCACCTTAAAGTTGCTTGCGATCCGCCATAATAGAAAAGAAGAAGAAGAAGCTCGGCCTGTTTGTTTTCTTTCGTGATGAGAAGCTTCGTCTGGATTTAGCTCCGTGATTTATTTCAATTACTGATGAAAAAAGACTTCTCGTAAGTCAAATACTTTATTCTGTGATTTAGTTCCAAGCTGCTGTTGCCAGAGGCTTGTAACGCTGCAGCTTATTGTCTGTGGAGAGGAAGTTAGTTCAGTCTGTTAGCATCTGTAGCTGTTAGCATCTGTAGCTGTTAGCATCTGTAGCTGTTAGCGTCTGTAGCTGTTAGCGTCTGTAGCAGTTAACATCTGAAGCTGTTAGCGTCTGTAGCTGTTAACATCTGTAGCTGTTAGCGTCTGTAGCTGTTAGCGTCTGTAGTTGTTAACATCTGTAGTTGTTAGCGTCTGTAGCTGTTAACATCTGTAGTTGTTAGCGTCTGTAGTTGTTAGCGTCTGTATCTGTTAGCGTCTTTAGCTGTTAGCGTCTGTATTTAACATCTGTAGCTGTTAACATCTGTAATTGTCAGCATCTGTAGCTGTTAGCGTCTGTAGCTGTTAGCATCTGTAGCTGTTAGCGTCTGTAGCTGTTAGCGTCTGTAGTTAACATCTGTAGCTGTTAACATCTGTAATTGTCAGCGTCTGTAGTTGTTAGCGTCTGTAGCTGTTAACATCTGTAGTTGTCAGCGTCCTTAGTTGTTAGCGTCTGTAGTTGTTAGTGTCTGTAGTTGTTAGCATCTGTAGTTGTTAGCGTCTGTAGCTGTTAGCGTCTGTAGTTGTTAGCATGTGTAGCTGTTAGCGTCTGTAGTTGTTAGCATCTGTAGCTGTTAGCGTCTGTAGTTGTTAGCGTCTGTAGTTGTTAGCATCTCTAGTTGTTAGCGTCTATAGCTGTTAGCGTCTTTATTTGTTAGCGTCTGTAGTTGTTAACATCTGTAGCTGTTAACATCTGTAATTGTCAGCATCTGTAGTTGTTAGCATGTGTAGCTGTTAGCATGTGTAGCTGTTAGCGTCTGTAGTTGTTAGCGTCTGTAGTTGTTAGCGTCTGTAGCTGTTAGTGTCTGTAGCTGTTAACGTCTGTAGTTGTTAACATCTGTAGCTGTTAACATCTGTAATTGTCAGCGTCTGTAGTTGTTAGCGTCTGTAGCTGTTAACATCTGTAGCTGTTAACATCTGTAGTTGTCAGCGTCTTTAGTTGTCATCATCTGTAGTTGTCAGCGTCCTTAGTTGTTAGCGTCTGTAGTTGTTAGCGTCTGTAGTTGTTAGCGTCTGTAGTTGTTAGCATCTGTAGTTGTTAGCATCTGTAGCTGTTAGCGTCTGTAGTTGTTAGCATGTGTAGCTGTTAGCGTCTGTAGTTGTTAGCGTCTGTAGCTGTTAGCGTCTGTAGTTGTTAGCGTCTGTAGTTGTTAGCATCTCTAGTTGTTAGCGTCTGTAGCTGTTAGCGTCTGTAGTTGTTAGCGTCTGTAGTTGTTAACATCTGTAGCTGTTAACATCTGTAGTTGTTAGCATGTGTAGCTGTTAGCGTCTGTAATTGTCAACGTCTGTAGTTGTTAGCATGTGTAGTTGGTAGTTGTCAGCGTCTGTAGCTGTTAACATCTGTAGCTGTTAACATCTGTAATTGTCAGCGTCTGTAGTTGTTAGCATCTGTAGCTGTTAACATCTGTAGTTGTCAGCGTCCTTAGTTGTTAGCGTCTGTAGTTGTTAGCATCTGTAGTTGTTAGCGTCTGTAGCTGTTTGCGTCTGTAGTTGTTAGCATCTGTAGTTGTTAGCGTCTGTAGCTGTTAGCGTCTGTAGTTGTTAGCATGTGTAGCTGTTAGCGTCTGTAGTTGTTAGCATCTGTAGCTGTTAGCGTCTGTAGTTGTTAGCGTCTGTAGTTGTTAGCATCTCTAGTTGTTTGCGTCTGTAGCTGTTTGCGTCTTTAGTTGTTAGCGTCTGTAGTTGTTAACATCTGTAGCTGTTAACATCTGTAATTGTCAGCATCTGTAGTTGTTAGCATGTGTAGCTGTTAGCATCTGTAGCTGTTAGCGTCTGTAGCTGTTAGCGTCTGTAGTTGTTAACATCTGTAGCTGTTAACATCTGTAATTGTCAGCGTCTGTAGTTGTTAGCACGTGTAGTTGTTAGCGTCTGTAGCTGTTAACATCTGTAGTTGTTAACATCTGTATTGTGTTACTTCGGTAGCACATATACTAAAATTGGAACGAATTTTCAGCGTCTGTAGTTGTTAGCATGTGTAGCTGTTAGCGTCTTTAGTTGTTAGCATGTGTAACTGTTAGTGTCTGTAGCTGTTAATGTCTGTAGTTGTTAGCGTCTGTAGTTGTTAGTGTCTGTAGTTGATAACATCAGTAGCTGTTAACATCTGTAGTTGTTAGTGTCTGTAGTTGTTAGCGTCTGTAGCTGTTAGCGTCTGTAGTTGTTTGCGTCTGTAGTTGTTAGCGTCTGTAGCTGTTAGCATCTGTAGTTGTTAACGTCTTTAGCTGTTAGCATCTGTAGTTAGTATCTGTAGCTTTTAACATGTGTAGCTCTTAGTGTCTGTAGCTTTTAGCGTCTGTAGTTTTTAGCGTCTGTAGTTGTTGATGTCTGTAGCTGTAAGTGTCTGTATGTTTTAGTGTCTGTAGTTGTTAGCGTCTGTAGTTGTTAACGTCTGTTGCTGTTAGCGTCTGTAGTTGTTAGTGTCTGTAGTTGTTAGTATCTGTAGCTATTAGTATCTGTAGCTGTTAGCGTCTGTAGCTGTTTGTGTCTGTAGCTGTTAGTGTCTGTAGCTGTTTTTGTCTGTTGCCTTTAGCGTCTGTAGTTGTTAGCGTCTGTAGCTGTTAACATCTATAGCTGTTAACATCTGTAGCTGTTATCATCTGTAGCTGTTAACATCTGTAGCTGTTAGCATTTGTAGCTGGTAACATCTGTCGCTGTTAGGATCTGTAGCTGTTAGCATGTGTAGCTGTTAACATCTGTAGCTGTTAGCATGTGCAGCTGTTAGCATGTGTAGCTGTTAGCAGCCACGTGTCGTCGCGTGCTTGGATAATCTAGTCTCGTGACTGTGTCTCTATTTTTCTGTGTAGGAGCAGGAGCTTCACGTCAGACCTCCACCAACCACATGTTTGTTCTCTAACAGGTATGGTTGTAATTTCTAGTAAAGTTGTTCAATATTAAACTTCGGTCAAGCAGCCTCCACTTCAAAAAGTCAGCGCTCACGCGGTTTGGTTGTGCACGCACTAACACCACCAGGTAGTCACGCTTGCGAGGTTCTTTCAAAATAAAAGCTGATGTGTGTCTCCTGTTGGGTACAAACTCTGGACATAAAACACATGTTAGCACTGGAAGCTGTAACTATACCACTTTATTTAAAAAGCCCTTAAAACAGCTACAAGGCCTACCAAAGTGCTGTACAGACAGAACAACAGGCAACACACAAAGCAAAATACAAAACGAGGTAAATCAGAATATAGACATAAAAACGATGCAGATAATGACGACTAACCAGTGTGGAGCGTACAGGATCAAAACACAGATCATCCGGTGTTGAATTCTACTGAATAGTAGTGTGTTTTTAAACGGGACTTGAAAACCGAGAGGGAGGGGGCCTGTCTGACAAGCAGAGGTAACTCGTTCCAAAGTCTTGGTCCTGCTACAGAGAAGGCCCTGTCACCTCTGCGCTTAAGACGAGTTCCTGGAACTGTGAGGAGCAACTGGTCCGCTGACCTCAGGGAACGTGGAGGGACACACGGCTGTAGCAAATCAGAGAGTTGGGGGGGGGGGGGGGGGTATGAAACTGTTCAGTGATTTGTATACATACAGTAGTATTTTGAACTGGATTCGAAGGTGAACTGGTAACCAGTGCAGTGAGGCCAAAACTGGAGTAATGTGCTCTCTTTTGCCTGTACTGGTTAAAAATCGGGCTGCTGCATTCTGGACCAGTTGTAGTCGTGTAATGGAGGTCTGACTGATACCAATCAGAAGCGAATTGCAGTGATCAAGCCTAGATGTAATGAATGCATGTATTACTGTCTCCAGGTTATTTTTGGACAATATGGGCTTCAGTTTAGACAGCCGCCTCAGTTGGAAGAAACATGATTTAACAATCATGTTTACATGACTGTTAAGTTTCAGGGAAGGGTCCATTATCACTCACAGATTAGTGACTCTTTGTTTTTCTGACAGGGTTAGAGCGGAGATGTCGATGCAGTGGTTTGTGATCGTGTCGTTGGGAGGGAACAACATGACTTCAGTCTTCTTTTCATTGAAACTTAAGAAATTTAAAGCCATCCAGTCCCTGATGTCAGCCAGGCAGTCGAGCAGAGGTTGAATAGCACATGTAATCAGGTTGATTGAAATCAATTGATCAATTGAAATCAGGTCTCTCTTGTAAATGAGTCCTCGAGGCTCAATGAGATTTACCTGTCTAAATAAAGGTTGATTGATTGATTGATGTACCATTGTGTCTTAGGGGGAAGTAAATTTGACAGTCATAGGCGTAGAAATGAAAGTGTATGCTGTGTTTCCGGAAAATAGCACCAAGCGGCAGCAGGTATAAAGAGAATAGGAGAGGACCCAGGATGGACCCCTGTGGAACCCCCCATTTTAGCTCTGCCGCTGCAGAACTAAAATCCTTGATGGAGACACAAAAGGATCTGTCAGTGAGGTAAGATCTGAACCAGTTGAGGGCTGATCCTGTGATGCCCACCCACTGCTCCAACCTAGCAATGAGGATCTCATGGTCGATGGTGTCAAAGGCGGCTGTGAGGTCCAACAGGACAAGCAGCACAGAATCACCAGTATCTGTGAATCTGAAGATGTCGTTAAAGACCTTCAGCAGGGCAGTTTCAGTGCTGTGGAGAGGTTTAAAGCCAGATTGGAAAAGCTCTAAGATGGCGTGATCCTCCAGGAAGCACTTCAACTGGGACTCGACTATTTTCTCCAGTATGTTAGAAACAAATGGGAGTTTGGAGACAGGCCAGTAGTTGGAAACGACTGAGGGGTCAAGGTTTGTTTTTTTAGGAGAGGCTGGACAGCAGCATGTTTAAAGGATTTTGGCACCACGCCAGTGGATAAACTACTGTTTACTATGGCAAGAATGGACGGACCTTGAGTTGGAAAATCCTCCTTTAGTAGTCGAGGGGGGACCACATCAAAGGGGGAGCCAGAAGGTTTCAAGCTGCACATGACCTGCTCTAGAGAAGATAGAGTGATGGGTTCAAAATGGTCAAAAAGAGCTACAGATTGAGGTGGGATGGATGGGTCATGAGTTGGAGGGGAAATGAGAGCCCTGGTGGTCGCAATGTTTTCCACAAAGAAATGTAGGAAGTTGTCGCACAGCTCAGTCGAGGCTTCCAGAGGTGATGGTTCAGTGAGGTGGAGAACAGAGTTTAGGGTGGAGAAGAGGACACGTGCGTTGTGAGAGTTTGAGGTAATTATATCAGAGGAGAATTTTGATTTAGCAGCTTTTACTGTTTTCTGATAACGGCTCCAACTCTCTTTAAGTATCTGGAAAGAGACCTGCAGCCTGTCTTTCCTCCACATTCGTTCCGCCCTCCTACATTGCTGCCTAACGGCCTTGGTGATGTCACTCAGCCAAGGTTCTGCTCTCAGTTTTGATTTTCTAGTTTTAACAGGCGCAACATGATCCAGAGTCTTTAAGCAGACAGAATTGAACTGGGACGTCAGCTGCTCAGTTTGAATGAGTTTCAATTTCAATGAGTTTTTCATGTTTTGACTCGAGTTGATTGAAGTCATTCTTGCTGGTCCATGTTCAGAAACGATTTTTAATGTCCGCCTGTGAATATGATCCATAATATTTTACTTTAGTCTCTGTTTTGTGGTTATTTGACTGTTTTCTGATAACGGCTCCAACTCTCTTTAAGTATCTGGAAAGAGACCTGCAGCCTGTCTTTCCTCCACATTCGTTCCGCCCTCCTACATTGCTGCCTAACGGCCTTGGTGATGTCACTCAGCCAAGGTTCTGCTCTCAGTTTTGATTTTCTAGTTTTAACAGGCGCAACATGATCCAGAGTCTTTAAGCAGACAGAGTTGAACTGGGATGTCAGCTGCTCAGTTTGAATGAGTTTCAATTTCAATGAGTTTTTCATGTTTTGAATCGAGTTGATTGAAGTCATTCTTGCTGGTCCATGTTCAGAAACGATTTTTAATGTCCGCCTGTGAATATGATCCATAATATTTGACTTTAGTCTCTGTTTTGTGGTTATTTGTATGTTCATGATGTGAGAATGTTCAATTGTTTTCCCTGAAGTTTCCATTAATATTAAAACAAAACTCTTAGTTTCCAGTGACCAGTCTCACTTCAGGCTGACTGTAGAACATCTCCAGATGTTGCTCACCAGATGTCACCAAGACCTCATGTGGAATTTCAAAATAAAGGCCCTCCAAAGTTGGACATTTTCCATAGAATTGTCCCTAAGTTGCTGTGTTTATTGCTCGTTCTTCAGGATGTTGTAGAAACAGCGAGGGTAAGTACGGCTTTACCAGAAATCACATCATTAGTGCAGAAAATTTATTGTCTCGTTGAAATGCAACATAGTTCAAGTAAAAACAGGAATGTTTCATTTAAAAACATTTATATGTTTAATATTTTAAGTGACAATATCCATTTGGAAAAATAAAGTTCAAATTGTACATTAATGTCAGAAATGACATTTATATCATTTTAACACCAAGTGTTTGTTTTTCCTGGTAAATGTTGAGAATTACAAGAGCTTTGTGTTATTTGTCCATGTTGACCAAAATCACTGGAGGTTTCTTGTGTAGTGAGATAGGTCGGTTAGCTTTGCTTAGCTTCGGAGCTCCACTACACGTTATAATATCTAGACTAGTTCAAGTACCTGATATTATACTTAATTTAAACGGGTTCTCTCTTTTTCGAGCTACTTGACAGATATGTGACAGAGATCAGTGACGTGAGACGTTAATTTTCTTTGACCCATCAAAATGAATGCGGTCATTTATTAACAGAGTCAAAGTTTAACATCAAACATTGTACACATGATTATTCTGATTGAAGCAATAACACAGCTTAATTACAACAGACATCTATGAAAATATCTGGATGATTTACTGGCAAGATAGAAGAGTTTTAAAGATGGGAAATGAAGGAGTTTAAATGGAGAGGGAAAGATGGATGAGGGAATATGTGTCGACGACGAACGGCACTCTCCATCCGAACCCAGCTTAACACACGGTACACTTCGCAGTTGAAGATCGACTTTTTACCTTTCTGAAGATATGTCAGTTCCGGCGTAAAGTTCCACTTCAAGCCACCTTTCAGCGTCTCCGTAAGGATAGCAGAGAACCGTCCGGAGTAGTGACGGTACTTCGTTCAACACACGCTCACCTCCCGGGTGGGCTCACATGAGTTGTGAGTCCGTCAGAGGTTCCACTCAGATGTGGAAGATTCCATAATCCCCACGAGACTCGGAAGAACTTCGGATCATGTCTGGCACTTCCTGTTCTCTCTAGCAACTTTTCTGTTCGGTTCTGCCCTCCGAACTGAACTGCTCTCCCACCGCACTGGTTGGAACTAGGAAGTGTCGACATTTAAAGAGTTCTGTTTCCGGTTCATTTGGGAAGTCTTGATTGGCTGAAAGAGCCAATCAGGGGTGTGTTTTTAGTGACGTAAGAGGTCACTAGAAGTCAGAAAAACAGAAAATGTTTTGGAACAGACAGAAAAATGTTTTTGAAACAGACAAGAGAAATGTTTAGGCGAGATGGAGGAAACAGGTGCCAGCTTCTCTATTTACGTCTGAGAGGATTTAAAAACATGACAGTTCGTTCCAACAAACTTGTTGGCGTTTGTCTCCGACTTTTGACCGACTTACAACCTGCTCATTTCAGACAGAAGATCAAGAAAATGAATAATTACTCTGTAACAGACATTAACAAGATTTCTACTTTGAATGAGGATTAAAAATCATTAATACTGTTTCACAGTTGATTTAAAATAAGTAGTTCACTTCAACATTTAAAAATGATTTGAATTAAACACACTTTTGATTATCAAGACATTTGTAAAATAGTAATGATAATAGAAAAAGAGAGTGTTCTTTCAATTGATCCGTGCAGGACACACTTAGAAAGTCTCTGGATGGGCCAACCTGTATCTCTGGATTCAAATCAATGAAATGACAGTTCTTGTCCCAGGAAGGCCCTCAGGGCCAGATTTGACCTGAGGCTTAGTTCACTACAGTCCCCCCTTTGGAAATCATCGCCTGTCCATGGGGATGAATTCCAACATGAATTTACGCCTTCGAATGTCCTTGAGCTTGATGTAATCCAGCAAGGAAAAACAAAAGTCAAAGGAGGTAATCCCACAATGTCTTTGGTAATTCCATTGTGATGTTGGTAATTCCATAATGTTGTTGGTAATTCCATTGTAGCAATGCTTTAACCCTTTGGAAACAAAGTCTGTAATCCATTGGAAAAAGTCATATAATCCACAATGGTAAATCCACAACAAATGGATGTGTTGATTGATCAGCATACAGAGGGGTTCCCTTGGATTGAACTGAAGATGCGGCCACTGGATGAAGATTGGAGACCAACGTCAGGATTGTAGGTCTCCTCCAGCGAAGGTCGTCGCTGGGTGACGTCCAGTCGGTGTCGTTCTGGTTCGAATGTGTCATGCAATTATGTGGTTTATGGTGGGCTTATGAAGGGGATTTTACATAAGGCCTTAACCTATATGCACCTGGTGTGTAAGCTATTATGATTGGGAACAGCTACAGCTACCAGTTAAGGGGTGGAACATGCTGAAAAGGGTAACTATAGGGGTCTATACTTATAGAAGGGTGTTCCAAACTATTTTTCCATTCCTAACTTGGTTTAAGTTAGCTTTACATGGCCAAATATAGCTTGGTTCAATGGTCTGTTGTCTTTTAGATGAACGACTTGAGATCGGGTGTTTGGTTTCCCCATAAATATTTTTGGAGTCTATTGCGAGACTCATCAAAAAGAATTAGCTATCCCCCCGAATAGAATTGTTCGAGTAGGTTCGGCTTAAGCGTTGTGAGACCAATGTAGATTATGGTACTTAAGGTAGCATTAATCTACATTGACTCTGCAAAGATTAGGTTTTAACGAGTGAACTGCATGTTGGCATAGTTAAAGGCCTCTTAGTCTCTAACTTAACTACACACAAAATTCATTCTTGCTTGGGGTGTTCAGAAACAATACCAAAAACCAATTAAACGATGTCTCAACATCGATAAAAACAGTGACTAAGCAACCAGTAAAACAACGTTTCAACATTGACAAAAGTAGTGATTAAGCAACTAGAAAACGACGTTTCGGTGCGCCACTCACTCTGAATGTCAGATTTGATCACGTTATCGCGTCTGGTAACATTACCCTAACTGGCGTCACCCCCCTTTGGTCATGGGAGACCGCGAACACGGGTGAGGACGTCGCTCCATGAGCTAAAGTTAGGTTGTCCTTGAGTAGTTTTAACTGTTTGCGCAACTGAAAGAGGACTTTAAGGTCTGGATTGGAATCCAGTTCGCCTTTCGATGGAGTGTATTTGTCTGGGTCAGTCAGATACAGTATCATCGAGTTAATTGCAGGATCCAACTTCTGAAGTTGGATGATGTCTGGGTCAGTTGAAAATGACTTCATATTTTAAAAGAACTTGGCGAAGTTTGTCTCTTTCTTTATCAGATGTCAGAGCGTCGGCTTGGGCGACCACCTGTTCAATCTGTGATGAGACTGATAAGGGTTCTTGCTCTTTGGGGAGCTCCAACGAATCCCTTTCTGAGTCGTCGGACCTGTCTATGGGTAAGACACCATAGGTTTGAGGTCCTTGGTCGACGTCATCGGTTGAAAAAAGAGCTATGGCCTGTGTTGGTTTTGTGAACCATACTGGCCCAGCTTCTTGGCTCGGTACCAGGTTATCTGGGAGTCCTCCCAGAAATGGAATGCCTAGTTCAAAATCATGAAAATCAGTGGAAATCAACCATCCTAGCATAGTGTCTCTTGGGATCATCACCTCATCCGTGCCTGTGTTACACACAGCAACAGATGTGGTCCTGGAGTCAAGGCTCACTTGGTTCGTGGCTTCCACAGACAGTCCCAAGTTGAAAAACGCAGGAGAAGGTTGAAAATATGCCTGTTTATGGCTAATAGCTTGTCCAGCTATGATGTGGATTCGCACCATTAGGTTAATCACCTGAGGTGGTACTGTGGTGGTTTGGTTGCTAGCAACCTGGCAGGCCTCTGGAATGGTCTGCCCAGCCTTAAGGTTTGCTGTGTCTAGCACAGGAGGATCCTTTGTGGCTGGTTTTAGGGACCACAGCACCTTGTTGATGGTGTCCACGTGGACACCCAACCTTACCAAAATGTCAGAGCCTATGTAGGTTGCATGTGGTAAGTTTTGGATCACGAGAAACGGGTGAACCAGTTCTCGTTGGTTCCAGTTCAGTTTTAGGTTAATGACTCCTTCAGCGGTCATTACCTGTGAACTATTGGGAACTAATGGAAAGCGGAAAGCTTTTTTAATTAGTTCTAGACTCACGTGTTTGTGAACCAAGGTTTCATAGAAAGCTTGGTTAATTGCTGATTTATCTGTCCACAGAGACAGAACAGCATCGTTGGTGTGGGACCCTTGGATCTCTACACCTTTAACTACCAGTGGTAGGTAGTGTTTGGTGGACTCTGACTGCTTCAGCTCACAGAGGATGCTGTCTTGTTGGGTCAGAGTTTGGACCACCAGGTGGGTCTCTTTGGTTTCACATGATTTCAGAGGAGTACTCACAGGGCTTGTTGATATAGAAATTATTATTTTAATGCTTTTATGCCAATCTAGACCTATATTACACTTATTTAAACACACTTATACAACGTGTTATTCACATATTAGGGATTGTACTTTGTTTAACATGTCACAGAGACAAAGGGGGGAATGATTTATGTTGCCTTTGTTAATATTTGGGACATTCTTTGATGGTTTGCAGAGGGATGGAGGAGTGCGTATTTCCTCTTAGGAAGTTTAAGGAGTATTTCTAACTTCAGGGTCTTGGCCCGCCTTGAGGTCACCGTGCTCCTTATTTGTAATAAATCACCAGCTCTTCATCCGTTGTTCTGGAAACCATCAAAACTTGCTTTGATCTGCTCTCACGCGATCAGGGGAGCCTTTATAAGAAATGTATCAGACACAGAGAGTTAGAAGTCTCGCTCTGGACCAGCGCGCGGTGCCAGAGCACCTGATTGAGTTCTCCTCATTGGATCGAAAGGCTTCCCGATCATTTTGTCACGGTGAGAGATACTCATATCAATTTGTGTGTTAAGAGTGTACAAGGGTACATGACTTTTTTTTGCTTGGCTGTTATTTCTTGTGGCGGATTAATAAATGACAAATATTATTCTAGCAAGTTACAGTCTGTGTGTCATTTTTTCCTTCGTCTGAAT